TAGATATACTGTACACTCCTTGATTCTCGAGGATATGCAAATATAGTATACAATTTTCGGGAGATATAAGTGTATTATTCATTTTTCAGTTCTTTGTACATACCTATGCAAACACTTCTCAGTTCTCGAGGATATGCTTATATACTACACAGCTTTCAGTTCACAAATATATATGCTATGCTACATATTACTTAGTTCTCGAGGATAGGCTAGTATACTATTATATTTTCTATACTTTTGTATTTTAATATAACAATTTACAATAGAACAAACATATTTTTAAGGATCGATATCAAACTAGTCGAACTTCTGTAGTTTATTGGAATATACAAATACACTAACAGAAGTTTTCTATTTTGAGTAAATGAGAATATATATATCTAACAAGCGCCTTCAGTCTTCGAAGTATACCACTAAACAAGTACAGTTAATTTATTTTCAAGTATATATATATATATATATATATATATGCATAGGTAAGTAAAACCCCTTCCTTTTTGAGAATATACGAACATACTAGTACTGCCTTTTTAATTTACGTAATATACAATAATATATCAGTAAAATTCTTCGTTCTGGATTATATCAGTGCGGCAGTAAAAACCTTCTTTTTCTTGGGAATATATTTAAATACTAATAAAGTTCCTGTAATACTGTGATTATATGAATTGACCAATATAACTCCTCCAATTTAGTGTCTATTTTGATATATCAGTTTTGTAGGAGTATTACGTTATACTGAAATGAATTTTGAATATGCAACTCAGCAAATGACGTGACAAACACAGCTAATATAAAGTCGTGGAGGAAAGACATGTTTCAGGATTAAATGTTGAGATTGTTTGAGCTTTCATAATTGATTTTTTAGAAGGTTTGTTTGTTTTGTTTGTTTTTGAATTTCGCGCAAAGCTACACGAGGGCTATCTGCGCTAGCCGTCCCTAATTTAGCAGTGTAAGACTAGAGGGAAGGCAGCTAGTCATCACCACCCACCGCCAACTCTTGGGCTACTCTTTTACCAACTTTTTAGAAGGGCATGTAACAGCCTTTTCCGATGAAAATATTTATACATTCAAGTCATAATTTTTTTTCAAAGTTGGAATTTATAATTTTTACGTTGAGGCATTCCTAGAACTTAATGACATTGGAAAACTAAGGAATATGGATAAAGTAGATACCCCAGAACCACCCAGAAAGGAACCCGCAACAAGTCTTACCACAGCCGTGGTAAACAAAATGCGAGTTTGTGTAATACGTAATAATCCACGAAAACAAAGATTATTGGTAAAAGCCTTACACGTGACCTAGGCAATATAATGAAGAAAGATTTCTATCTGGAAACGAGGCCCCAGTTATAACTCCCGTTCAACAGTAGTATACCTCAAGTAGCAGGAGAGTGAAACGGGTAATCATAGTTTCCCTAAGAAGTCGTATCGGTTAAATCGTCGGATGCAGCTCCTATGGATTTCTGTGCTATCGGACTGTTGAAGCGGGTATTGGGAACCGTAATCCTCCACACTAGATGGATTATGGAAAGCAGCAGGGGGAGTAGTGTACTTTGAACATGACAGCTTTGCAATGGGGCTTTTCACAATGGAAATTGTGTTACAGGGCTATTTTAAAGATGCATGGTTGTCAGCTAGGTTATGATCGGACGTGGCGGCATAGATTGTAACGAGGCAGTGAAGCTCCAAAAAGTTTTAATATAAAGGTTGACCTCTATATCATTGAGTACTTATCACTAGATGAATTACTAAGTTATGCTCATCTATTGTGAAAATTGGTTATAAAAATATTGATATGTAGATTAACAGTAAGCCTTATGTATTGTTCAATCTAGGTTAAAAAACCTAAACCTAATGTTCCAGATTTTTATTCAACGTTTTGCTTCTGCTTGCTGATCCTTGGGAGAAAATATAAGTCGATTATATTAGATTTGTAAACTGTTGGTTCAAAGAAAACGTTACTACGGTATACTGAACAATAATTTGTTTTTGTTTTTTTACATTAGCATCTTCTCTGCGTAATATTCAGTAACATATGGTTGTTTTTATTTTAATTTCAACTGTATGAAATAATTATTCACAAATGATTGTTTTGTGGCCAAATTCAATGCAGCTGTTGTTTGGATATTGCTTGTTTTAAGAAGTACATGTCACATATAACCCTTCAGAATAATGGATGTTGTAACTTTACAGAAAGAAAGGGATGCTAGTCTTTCAAGAGAAAAACAACAACAACAACTTACACTAAACCAACAGTAAGAAAGAATGCTAATTTTCAGGAAGAAAGAAATGTTGACCATACAGAAAGAAAAGCAACCTAGGCCTTTAGAAAAGAAAAATAATACATTTATCCTACAAAAAGAGTTGCACACTAACTCGAAAGGAAGAGAGACAAGCTAGTCTTTTAGGATGAAAGATATGTTAATTCCTTCATTGAAAATGGTGGCAAATAAAATTCATCTGCGGGAGAAATATTTTCGTTTTATATATATATATATCAAATGCATGTTCCTTCAAGAAGCATCAGAAAATCTTAGTTTAAAATTAATAGATTTAAGCAGACATTATACGGTTTTTGAAAGTTGGTGCTGCAGACAAGCCTTTGTTTATCAACTGAAAAACTTCGATTACAAGACCTAGCCAACTTTATGAAATATGTTCTTTGGTTATGTCGAAAGTTAATTTTATAGTGGTTATATAAGTTGAAATAAAGAGTAATTTGTGCTGTAACACCCACACACCCTTTTCTGAAGATTACAACATTATGCCGTAAATTTCGTGTTTAATCGTAATTAATAACAAAAACAAAGTTATCACCTAACAGGAGAGTAACTTATGTTTCGATGACACGTGAATACAGTTTCAACCTTAAGCTCCATTATTTCGAAGATGCGCTTTGAGATCTGGAAAGAATAAGAAAATTGATTTGAATCTGCAGAAGGATATTATGACGTGTATGTTGACTGAGTAACATTAAAATACGAGGCAGCGTTCACTTTGGTGGTTTCTAGTTTATGATGTATGATTGATTAGCAAACACTTCTGTATCTTTATTTTAAAACATTATATTGTTTTTATTATCGTAGATTTTGAATTTAGCTTGGAACTTTGAGCAGTATTTTCTGTCCTGATCTGTTATTGATAAGTTTGTAAATATAGTGCACAAGGACCTCTTTACAAATTCGACCACAGCTATCGATAAAGTGATATTATTGAGTCTGAATATTCTTGTTGGAAGAATTTATTTTCTTTTTTGTTGAAAACGATGGATCATAGTATATTTATTCCTACATACCTCACAGCACACACTTACTTTAATAAATTCATATGTCTACTGGAAAGTAAAATTGCTTTACAAGCTTGTTTTTATATCTTTTGTATCTAATATTTGTTGATCACTGACATACAAATACACCCCGGACTACACACATAAATCTAAAATATGTTTACCAAGTGCGTTTTAGTAATCTATTTTTACCCCACACAACAGTTCACCGTGAATTATTAAACCAAAGCCCACAGTATTTCAAGATTTATGTGACTTTGATTGATATTTATAAAAACTTGTGTTGTAGGTTTTTACACAGCAGAGAATTTGTATCGAACTACTGTGAGTATAATTTTGATATACTGCTTGATGGAAAACACTTATAATATCTGGATCAGAACAAGCACTTTCTCTGAAGTCGAGGTCATTCTACCAAAACTTGTTTGTTTACGTCTTTTTCTCTGGTTGAGTTTCAATGTATTCCATATATTCAGAAAATATTTAGAACAATACTGAGGATCATTTTAAATCCCCAAAAGTGTTGATTAAGATTTTCAGACAGAAAATGGTTGTGATTTTTTAAGATCACACGAATTTCGAATATGTATGATATTCAGTATATTATAAGTACTAAATAAACGGAAGTGACATAAGATTTGAAATCTAACTTCAGAATCAGAATAATATAAACTAATTTCTTCCATTAACAATGACCAATGATTATATATATATAAAGTATAAGGAATATATCAATATTAAAATTACAGTATAATAGGAATTTAATTTTGAGATTATTCTAAACCTGTTATTTTTATGTTATAATTGGCTACTAAGTATTTACTGACTATTACAAATTTATTATACATTAAAGAAATTTTACATATCTTGTTAAAAGAAACAGTTAGGGTTTGAAACATTTGATATGTATTCAAAATTAAATTATTAATAGAAACACACGCAAACCTTTGATCAAAGCAATTCAACTCGATAATGTAAAGTTAAGTTGATGAAAGGTAATTGTTCTGTAACTTTTTAATACATGTCTTGTTTGTTGTGGTGGTTGGTTGACAAAAACAGTAAAATATTGTCAGGTATACCTTACTCTTAAACAGGACATCTGAAGGATCTGTAGTTTAATATAAATAATAGTGTCTGATACCATTAATTATTATTTTGATTCTATTTCATACAGTTCTGGCTATGTCCATATTTGGTCACACTTACCACTTCAGTAATATTAACACGTAAATATACGAATATAAATAATGAAGTAGCTAGCCAGACTATCAATAAGATGAACATTCAGACAAATAAATAGGTACCCAGACAGTAAGGTAGACAAAGAAATGACAAACCAGGCAACGAAGTGGACAAACAGATAGTAAGGTAAACATCTAGGTAAAATGCAGGACAACCATCCATTAGATGACCATGGAAATGATAATGTGGACACCAAAACAGTAATGCAGTGAGCTGGACATACACATAAATGGTTTATCATTTATATAATGAAGTACACAACCATACAGGTAAGTAGATGGGTATTTGCACAAAATTCACACTCAAATTCGATACCATTTGTGCACAACAAATGGTATGTGAGCCAGTAAACATGAACATATTTTCTACTAACTTCATTAAGTCGTTATAAAAACGATGCCAACTACTTAGGTTCATCATAATAGAAAAATATTAATTTAGCATCAAATGAAATACGTAAAATACATACCTGCATTGTTAGACAACCCGAGTAGTGTCAGGATTACAGCATACATCATTTGCTGTCGGGAATACATGACCAACGCGCTTCTCCTCACTAAGCAGCGGAAGATACGTTGTTCTTGTCGACCGTCAAGAAGCTATGTGCTCCTCTTCCACCCACTTCCTCTTCCCTGCTTCACCGCTGCTCGGTGGTCTCAGGTGAGACTTGACCAACACTCGCCTTCACTAAACCACGTGGCCTTTCAGAGCGCATGCGTCACCATTCCAACTCTATAGTTCGTAGTGATATATTTGTTAAGAAACACTAGTTAATCTACTCAACGTAGCATATCCCAAGGGATTGTTTTAATTGAAGTTTGTTTACTTTTCATGAGAGATAGTTACATGAGAATTTTACGAAATATAAAATGACAATAATAGACATTTATGTTTCCTACTTCTGTAATGATCTGAATGATTACCGTAATCAAGCCAACCTGACGTACATCTTTTTAATAATGATATCAATAATCCTTAAGTAAACTTAGCTGAATTTTATGTTAAACCGAAACTAACAGTACCTTCTGTTGAAGTAAACGGTAAACTGAAACTATAAGTAAGTCTGCGGAACGCCATGAAAAGCTGAAAACATGTATAAATTATTTTGTTCAATTATAACAATGAGTCATATCTGCTATAAGCCTAAGTCATTAATAAAATCTGCTGAAGTTTAAAAAGACACGTTAAGATCCTGATAGTTAGCAATATACATTTTGCAAAGCGATGATGTTTTCTTGATTAGCGATTCACAACTACAGTTTAAGTATTTATGAAGAATGATTGAGCAAACGATATACAAGTTAAAATAATAGTATTAGTTGTATCACCCCCACCCCTCCCCAGTGGTTTAGTGGTACGACTTTATAAATCGAAATTCGACACCCGTAGAGGGCAGAGCTCAGAAACTCCGTTGTGTATTTTTTTAACAACAACCAAACCCCTTATTTGTATATACCAATTTTAAGTTTAAGATCAGATTTATCCCTTGAGTTAGAATTGCTATTACGACCTGTTCGTTTCATTGAATATTAAAAGGAAACTTAACAGACAAAATTGTTTTCTGAAGTTCTGCGAAACGTTACAATCAATTAATGAAGGGAAAATCTCTTTATACTATCAACATAAACAGTAAAAATTTGCCTTTGTGCATATTGAAAAAATTCCTTGTCTAAAAATATGTCTCTTTAAGTTTGACTTTGTTTTATTTAGCGATTCTTCTCGGAATCATAGTTCGAGAAATAACTTTCTTTGTCGTTTATGGTGGATTTAGTGATAAAAATATGTTCACGTCATTTTCATTAATGTAAATAACTTGTTTTACAGACCTAAAACACTTAAATTCACTCGAACAAATATACTATTGATTTCCTTTTTAGCTGCAACCAATATACACGATAATTTAAAATTCAACATGCACAAAAGAACTTTACTTCGCCAACAGCCAACATGAGAAACAAGTAGTTTTATAAGGAAAAGGTTGTAAACCTTAAGGGTAGTATGAATATTATACATAAGAAATCAATGTTTCTTTCCAAAGTTGTTATCATCATGTAACTCTTAGTTCTTAAATTTTAACTTTACTCTTTCTTTCTTTTACTGCATATTGTCCACAGAACCTACACACTTGAATAATTTCACACCAACTCTAAAGTTAACCATCTGTTTCTAAACGTCGATGTTATCTTAATATATATATACTTAGGCTTAGTGGGTTCAACAAATAAGAGCTTTACAAAAAAGTTAAAACTAATCTATAAGCAATAAGACTCATTAGTTGGTAAGTAAAGAGCTCCAGTGCGTGCTTTCTATTTGTTGTTGTTTAATGCTGCATAAATCATGACATACCCAGGTGAGGTTATTTCACAGAGTTTATAGTGTTCCTAAAAAGTAACACATATAACAAACGAACGTAGTTACATTATGGTTATTTTCGAAAAGCACAAATACAGTTCAGTAAAAGGGAGAGTAAATTGAGTCAACCAGCTTTCATCGTCGAACTTTGCTCATGCAACATTCTATAAGATGTAATATTTTTATCTGTCTTGTCTAATACTATCCGCAGACAGCGAGTGGGAACTAAATATTGTGAAGTAATAGGTTATAGCTTAATTACTTAAATTTTTGTGTGTGGTTATTGGGCATTACATCTGGAGAAATAAATTATCTTAATGGACAGTAAACAGCAGTGATTGAAGGGAACTTACTTTAAAGATATCCAGCTTCTTAGAGTGTCTTACTTTGATAATTAGGACATGTTAATGTATTCTTTATTGTGCTTGAGCAAAATATATTCACTTGATGAATTATTAATAATTTAATGTGGTTCACAATAAAATGTTCATTAGAATAGAAACAGCGGTATGAGATAACAATTTATAAGCGCTACAGATAGATAAATGATGAGCGAATGGATAGATGGATAGAGCAAAAATTAAACTTGTCTTGAATTAAACATCAAATAAATTTTACAGGATTTTTTAATCTTTTGGAAGTTTAATTCCAAGCAATTTAGTTTAATTAATATAGTTCTATAGAATGATAATTATTCTTTCTCAGGTTTTCAAAAACTTTAGTGTCAATATTTGGCATCTGAAAGAAGGTCTGATAGAAGTATATTACATTCTCGATGACTTTTTTATCATTTGATAACGTCTAACTTATGTGTTTCAGTTTGAGTTTGGTGTCTTCCCAATAAGAATATAAATATGACACTCAATAGCAGTCTTTTTTACGACTAGGTCTTTTTCCAATAATCGTAAAATTCCTGAACTGCAAGCTCTGGTTTTCCTGTTCTTCAGAGAATATGCCGATCCTATGGCTCATAAAGAACAAATGATTTTTAAAAGAAAAAAAAACGTTGTTCCAAAGTACAAAACTTTGAGTGCAATCTTGGAGAAAGGTAGTTTCGTATTTCGTAATGAAATCGAATAGCTAAAGTATTGTTGTTTTAGAGATTGTTGACTTTTCGAGAAACTATTGATCCTAAAGCATCGAATGCAATGTTTGAAATAATTCGTAATAATTAGTTTTGTATAGCAAATAAGATCACTGAGTTAGTAGATATAAAATACTTCCTGCTTTTTTATGTTCTTGGATATAATGAAATAATATAATGAAATGGTGTATTTAAGTGTTTTACACTCACAAAAAAGAAACCTATCGTTCTATAGGTATCTGAAGAACTTGTAGCATTCCGCACATTCCAGGGTCACTGATGAGGAGTGGAATTCTCCGAAACTAGTCTGGCTCACAGACACACCCCCAATGAAAAAATAGACC